CCAGTTTTTACAGGTGGGTCCTTTTGGACTTTAATTAATTTGTTATAAATGTGCAGTTTCATATCTAATTAGTGTTTATTAATTTCTACTTTCCTTTAGAAGCTCTTTAAGTAGATTAATTGCACAATTTGCTTTGTTTCTTTTTACTTTATAGCTTAGACAGAGCATGCCGAGCTGCGTTGACTTTTTTTGACATTTTTTTTTTATTTTGACCTTGCCTTTTTTTTTTCAGAAAACGGGAATAAGCTTAGCGCTAGTTTCGTTTAATTTAATCTTTATCAATAGATATTTCTCGTTTGTTTCTTTTTTTTTTATTTTTACCTGTATGTGCCACACCAGGATTAAATTAAAACTGATGTTAGACAGATTTCATTAATGTTCTCAAGTTTGAGCCACATGAGGAGACATCTTGAGAGGTAGAAACACAGAAGTACTACGATATTTCCTTAGATGGTATTTTTGGTAAGTAAACAGTTACTTTTATCATAATAAATTGTTGCTTACCAGAAATATTATTTCCTTTTTTTTTGACTATTTTGAGAGTCGGCCTTTTGCCTTCTTGCTTACATTTTACCTAATTTTTGATTAACAAATTCTCACAATTTAGTCAGAATATTTTGTGCTTCTGGGTTCTACTGACCAAGTGTTTATTTTTTCTCACCTGTTTAGGACAAGTACTGGTGACACCAGGATACAATTAACTTCATTTATTTTTTTTTTAAGTCAGTGCCTAGTTAATTTAAATGTTTTTACCTACACAATAAAGTCCAGGAAACTCGCTTGTAACACTTTTATACCTTGGAGAGCAATTATTTTTATCTAATAGTATCTTTGCCTATATATTTTCTTTTATCGTGAATTACTTACCGAAATAAGTAATTCAGGTTATCTTTATCTTTTATAGTGATCATCATATATGATATTTCTTAATTCATGTCCTACTTCTACATTGTAGGCCAAGATATCTTAGTAACACTACCTTTGTCAAAGAAAAGCTTTTTTTATTTCATTACAATTGCAGGAGAGAATATCTCAGAATACTTAATTTTTGTTCCTTTTAATAATTGGAAATTTATGTATATGAAATTTTGCTTATTAAATTCAAAATTCGATACCATACATTATTAATATTTTATATTTACGTTTTCTTCCTTATGGTCATTCACAGACCCAAGGAAGTTTCATTGTCCTCCATTTCATTAAATTAAGTTAGATTTAAGATAATTTTTATATTTTAAGTATCTTAAACATTGTAATTTAAGACAAATAGTAGTATTTAACTAGTATATGGTTGCAAATCCAAGATATAGGTGTTGCGCATAATTCCTTATTGCCTCAATAAAAATTAATTTAAGAATCTGATGTGCTCTGAAATTCCTTTTAGGTTTTCTATCATTGACTTAACTCATACGGTCCGGAACTTCAGCAAGCCGAGATAGAAAGAGAAACCAGTGTCCCTGATACACCAACCTAATTGTAACTTAGATTCTCAGATTGAAACACATCAGACGTCTGACTGTACGAAGGAATGGCTACAAATTTTGTAAGGCACCTTATTTTAACTTATCTTGGATTTAGAGATTAACTTTAGTTTTTTTTTACATACAGTAAATTTAAGGATCATCTTGCATTCTGGTAATTTGTTTGACTTTCCATTAATTTTCAAAAGGTTTCTTTAAGATTGTTAATTCAATAAATTGTAAATATAACTATTAAAAGTTTCATCAAGATTGTTAATTCAATAAATTGTAAATATAACTATAAAACGTTTCAATAAATTGTAAATATTAATTATTTTTCTGAATTTTATTTCTCAAGGTTTGTGGCAAATAATTTTGAGTAGTCTTTTGTACTTTTTTTTAAACATCAAAAGGTACTGGCGCCCATTGTCTTATCTTTTATCTTTGCTTAATATATCTTAATTGTTACGAAATTCATAATATTCATATTCATTCAAACTCATAATATTCATAACAGATGTCAATACCGAAAGACGATTGACAATCTGTCTACTCAAGATTATCTGCGAGTCTGCTATGTAACCCACGTGAGGTAATAATTGTCTAATAAAAATGCTATGCAATAGCTTTACCGCGGCAGTCCCCGAGTGCCAAACGTATTTTTTTTATTTTTTAAGTAAAAATGACTAAAAATTCTGATGCTTTGTTATAGCTTATTTTTTACTTATTTCTTATGCATATTATTTATGCATACGGGTAAAGATTCTATACAATTTTAGCAATACAATACATTTTAGAACTATCACATATTTTTTACAGCGTACGAAAATTCGTTCAAAAACATCTGTTTTGTTTAATTCAATATGATCATTCGCTTACCAAGCCGGCAGAAGTTTTTCCTATTATCGTTTTCCGTCTTTTCCTAGTAGCTCTTGAGTTGAAAGACCCGATAATTCAGAATGAAGTAAACCGTAAGCCGTATGTCATAAGTTACAAGCAAATGCATTCTTCGGTATATCTAGAAAGCCCGCTTTAATGCG